GAATTGCACCGTGGAGAACCACGGCCATCATACCATACAATTTGCAAGTATTTGGGGAGAAATACCAAGGAAGGAAAGGACAATATTCTGCAGTCTTCCTCTGTTGTCTGCCTTTTGTGTTACATGAGCTCTGCCCTTTATACTTGGATTACTTTTTAGCTGTTCCTAGTGATGTTTCAACAAAATATCAAAAATTGTATTGTTTGACACCACTGAAATATGTTTTCTCTCAGTGCTTGACTCTACCACTTAGAAGTCAAACTTTCTCTAGGTACTTGCTGTTTTTAGCTCATTGTGTTGAACTTCAGTCTTTGAATGGAGCTACTTCTGTCCAGTCTCTGCCACTGCGGTCACCTGTTTTGTCCTTTTCCAAATAACACACCATTTACACTGGACTTTGACCTGCTCTCATGGCCTTAGCATGGGTGCATCAGTGGGTACTATTTTCAAATAAGATCGCTTTCATAGGTTGCAGTGCTTCAGGCCTCAAGATGTTTGCAGGCATGTGGTTTCTTTCATTAAAATAGTCTGGCCCCACGTTGGTAAAGATGAGTTTGATTTTCCACTTTTGGTGGGAATGTAGGCTGATGCAATCACTGTGGAAATTACTGTGAAGTTTCCTCAAAAAACTAGGATTAGAGGTCCCATTTGAGCCAGCTATTCCTCTCCAGGGTACCTTCCCCGAAGAATTAAGAACATCATACCACAGTGATATATGTGCAACCAAGTTTATAGCAGCATAATTTATAATAGCTAAATCTTGGAAACAACCCCAAAACCCATCAACTGTGGAGTGGATAAAAAATATGTGTTTTTTATATAATAGAGTACTACTCAGCCATAAAGCAGATAAACTAGAGACTTTTACAGGTAAATGGATACAACTTGAGATCATTCTCATAAGCGAAATGAATCAGACCCATATGTGTAAACATTGTATTGTCTTGCTAGTGTGAGAAATTGAATGAATAAATAAGGTCTGAAATGTCCCAAAGATATGGTGAATTGGGAAAAAGCTGTTCAAAGAAAAAGACAAACTGTGATGGGGGAAATGGAAAAATAAAAAAGGGAAAAAGAAAAAACTATATGTATATACAAAAGAGTTAAGATAGTTATACAGCTAGTTTTTCCTAGTTCATTGAGAAGATAGTTTTGTGGTAATATTGTTTGGACAAAACATCATACATATATCTCATACTCTGAATAATTACTATATAACAATACACAATCGACCAACTACTGTAACTGTCCTACTAACTTGCTTTGAAGTGCTTTCATTGTTATTTTTATCTTTTTTCTCCTTAAAAATAAAAAATAAAATATCATAGATGCAAATACACTAAATTAAAATATGTTCAAAATAGTTTTGTAATAGATCAGCACACCATGAAAAAGTAAGGTTTCTCCTGGTATTACATATTATTAATAAAATTTCTAAACTTTATAAGTTCTCACAATATTATAAATTTATTTTTATTTTTTTTTGTCTTTAGAGACAGATTCTCACTGTGCAGTTCAGGCTGGTTTTGAACTCACTTTGTAGCCCAGGCTGGCCTTAAACTCACAGCAATCTTCCTGCCTCAGCCTCCTCAGTTCTGGGATTACAGGTGTGCACCACCAAGTACGGCAAAAATGATGAATTTAATTCAAATGAAAATTTGTTTGGCCATATTGAAAATTCAAGGAATTTTGAAATGCACAGACCCATTTTTATGTGCTTTAAGGTATAGCCTCAAAAATAAAGGATATGTAATATTTGATGCAAAAACTTGGGATTGTTCACTGAAAGTATAAATAAGAGAAACAAGACCCTGGCCACTTTTGAAGTAAAGCACCATATTTGCAACACAAAGAAAAGCAGATGGAAACCACAAACTGGAGTAAAAGAGATGATGTGTGTTTAAAAATCTAACACATCAACAAACACAAAGAGAGAGCCAAAATTTATTTTTCATCTGATTCAACAAATAAGTGTTTTCTTATAACATATTTAATACACTGAATGTGCTAGATATTTATTTTTGCATTATCAACAAATCATAAAAATATGTAAATATGAGAAGAAAAATATTGGGTATAAGATTGATGTGTATATGTGATAAATACAAAACTGATTTAGACAGATCAACACACGTCTCACATTACTAAAGGATGTTTAAACAAGGTAAGTAAAATTTCTAATCAGCCACTGATATTGCAACTCACTATAGAACAGCATATCCTTTCATTTATCACATAAATTCAATTCAAGACCAATGGCATGAGTGTTTTTCAAGTGTGGTAGAGTGTGTGTTGGAAATTAAAGCAAAGTGTTTACTGTAATTTTTAAATTTAAACATTTATTACAGTTTTATCACCCTAGATGAATCACATATAATACACAGAGTCCACCAAAAAGTGTAAAATTTACCAAATGAAAAATCTGTAGGAATATTTTCATACTACATTTATTGCATTATATTTCTACTGACACATTGAGAGATCTGGTTAAGAATAAACCAAATTGTACACTGCTATTGTCTATGGGTTTGGGAGCCCAAGCCAACTGAGAATTGTAGAAAGAAAATATTTTTCCAATTACCAAATGCTAAGTGACACAAGAAATTGCATTAAGAACAAAGCCACCCATTCTCTCCTAGCATTTAAGAAATTCCAGACAGGTGAAAAGCAAGCCAAGTCCAATTGATACCAGCTCAGGCTGGATGAGCAAAACCCATAGTGAAAAGTCTGGAAAATTAGCAGGAGGTGCAATCACATTGCAAAAGCATCCACAATGCTCTTAGTAATTACAGAAGTTGTAACCAGGTTGGTTGGTATTATTTGAACTATTTCTATATATCAGTGTGTCTCTACAGATGCATGTACCTTTGTAAAACGTTTCAAGGACCATAGATTATGGAAACAAAAAGCTACCTTTTTGCTTTTCTCAATGTTTTCTTAAAATCTTTTTACCATTTCATTCTAAAGAAGAAACACGGAGAAAAATTCATTTTTCTTTGTTTAATTTGTCCTTTAATATAGTCATGTGAGTGGCCAAATATATTATTGTGTGTGTTGACATAAAACCAAATATTTGAGCTGCGTGGATTCAGATCTGATGTAATTTGAAAGGGTCTCTCTCCTTTGTCAGCCCCTCTTCTCAAATAAGAATATCTCACATTTTTCCTTTGCGAGAGAGAGTGAAGATAAGGTAGTGAGCCGTAGGCAGCCCCACGTCAGGTTTTACCTTGTACAGGGAAGTGTTCCTCTGCCCAGAATTTGCCGATGCGAATCTCCACACATCAGGCCACAGAAACGGTGCTGACTGACCAGAAGAATTCAGTAATTCACAGCAGTGTAAATCAGCAACGTGACCCAAAATTGTTATTCAACCCACAGTGATAGTCTGGACCCAAGAATTTATACGTAAGAGGTCAGAAACTCATGTAGTCCCCTGAGAACGCAGAAATGCCTGCTCTGCTGCATTTCCATGTGTACGTGTGTAGTGAGTGCATCTTGCATGTAAAATTCATGGCTACTCAGGCTCATCCTTCTTGTGGTGCTAAGGATCAGACCTTGGACCTTGCACATGACAGGAAAAGGCATTAAAGTACATTACTTATATTTCTGTTTAGTAAATATAAAAATTATTATTGAGATATCATCTAATAATGTAAAATGTTAAAATTCGGTTTCTCTCTTTTCACTACAACACTTTAAAATTGGTAACACAGCACCAGTGACAGCCTACTTGGGAAACATGTTTTTCTTAAAATGAATAGAATTTATTTTAAGAACAATTTAAATTTACAAAAATTAAAGAGATCCTATAAAAATCTACTCTTCCTCTTTCAACTTTATATTTAATTTTATGACACAGTTTAGAAACAACACCATGCATTTATACTAATAAAATCAATGGTTCACGTAGAATTCAATTTGTGTGTTATACATTATTTGATTTTGGCGAAAGTAAACTGATCCATAGCTGGCATTACAGTATCAAACACTAATTTCACTGCCTGATAGAGTCACTACATATGGGGCTATGGAGTTTGATCCACTGTTTACAATATTTACTCTGTTGCAAAATACAAGAGCGTTGTCCAGCTTTCTAAATGTTGAGAAAGGAAAGAAATTCCTCACTAAGCCCATGTGGTCATTACAGTTACTGTGGGGGAAGCCAAGGTTGTAGGTACGGGAATGGGTCATCACAGTACAGGAAGCGGTGCGAGTAACATGTTTAAATGAAGTGAGTAGAGGAGGAAGACTTCAAATTTTATGACTCAGAAACCCTCTCTGATTTCTGAATAGATCCTCAGTTACTAACTTAGAATCCCTGAGTTCAGAGTAAATACTCTTTCTTCACACAAAGCTGTGAGTTTTTAGCACGTATGACTTGAAGGCAGACAAGGATGGGAAACATTCCCTCACCATCCTAAACCCTAGATGTGTGAGGTTGTAGTTAGATATGTTGGATTTTGGAGGGCGTAATGATAAAATCTTTTTCTCTGATCATGACCACTTTGAGACCATTTCACCAAATACCTTCCATTCAATTCTCCAGTGCATTCACTTGCATCTTCCAAACTAGTTTTAATAGAAATTGATTGTTGACACAGGCTTGGGACCAGTACTGCCCTAGAGAAAGTGCTCTGTGAGACTATGCAGTTACTGGACTTGGATGAAATCATTATTCCTAGGGCTAGAGAGAATGATGCTGTAACATATTTTCCAGTGTGTGTTTTTCGCCTGGAGACAGGGCCTCAGATGCAGAGCCCCAGGGGAGATGGAGTTACAGGTCCCTTAAAGTGTGTGCGGGAGGGTCACTGGTGAGTCCACTCCAGGCCACAACACACATCCATTTGTGCATCGCTGTTTTCCTGGTTGACATTGCAAGTTCAGAGTTCAAATAGAGCTTTTCAGAAATTTCCAATATGTCTCATTTGATTAATATCTACTTCCTCCTGCAGCTTCCTGTCTTAGTAGGTACTTTTCATCATTTAGATTGCTTTAAGAGAATGAAAAAAAGTGTGTACAAGGATGGAGATGTGGTGGTTGGTGGGTTTTTCCTTCTTTATTCACATACCCACCACTTCAGTAGCTCTCATCAGAGGCCTAATAAGGACTTCTTTCATTTCACAGAGTAAGTGCTTCTTTCATTTATTCATTTTGTGCTTGAGCAGCAGGATGGAAAATGCCTGGAAACACAATCCAAGCCATGGGACAGAGCTCACTAGTAAGAGACTGCATTATATCTCTCTGCCACAAAGCCCAAGGTATGCTCACATTTCTTTCACTGGGTATATAATTAAGCTGTGTAGTCCCCACTTGCTGGACAGACTCCACTGTGTAGATATTTGTTATTTGTTCAGTGATGCTTAAGTAATTATTTGATGCTGGGTTCTCCATGCCTCTCGCAGCACCAAATCAACCCAGGCTTAAGAAACGAGTCACCTGTGAGATTCTCATCCTCCCTAACGTGATTGCTTTTCAGTCAGACACCTGTATGACCTTTGTTTTCTAATATTATCAGTAAGAATTCTGGAGATAAAGCTGGAGTTAATAAATGGGTGAGAAAATGAAGAACATTCTAGAAGGCAACTTACGCTCCTGTGAGAAGGGAAGGAGTCAGCAAACGCAGTGATGGTTGTGTCCTTTTTTAGATGTGAAACCCACAAGGGTGCTGTGGACGCTGCCCACACTTGAGAGCAGGGATGGCAGGTTAGGAGTCAGGACCTGTTCCCTGGTGTAGAAGGTAACACCACCAACCTCAGATTTCCATTTATGTTCCATCTTATATTCTGTGCCATTTTTGGGTGTTTTTTTTTTTTTTATTATTCCTAGACACTCCCTTAGGTTTATGGATTTATTTCCACATGTTTTGAAAAACTGGGTTTGCATGCTGTCTTCCATTTGCTTCATGTACACACTGATTCTGATGATTGTTACAGAGTGACCTTCCTTAGCTAGTTCAGATTTGTGAACGTTTGGATGGTTGAAGCAGGAAAGACAAACATGAATCTCCGGAAAACTTTCAAAGAAAAAAAACTACGCATGCCAGTTTCTAAAGTGGTCAGGTTGATTTTTTTCTTGTCGTGGCGTAACTATTGGTGTAGTGACTGCCAGAAGAGATTTTCCATTTCAGAAGAGGAATTGAGCTAGACTCTGAACACTGCACGGAATCGCATGTGTTTAGAGCCAGATAATTATTTGGGGCTGATTGGATGAATGCTAGTGACTGAATATTTGGGCAAATGTGATTTTTTTCTAAATCATCCAATAGACTCTAGGCGATGATAAGCCAGTGGCTGAAAAACAAACTAGAACCAGTGTAGAATGTGAAACAGATCAGACCGGAACGATGATTATGCCTCAATATATATTAGAAATATTCAGCATAAATTTGAGCAATGTGCAGAAACCACAGAGGCACTAAAACAGGGGCCCATTTGAAAAGGTGAACAGGGGAGCAGTGTCTGGTGGGAGAGCAAAGATGTGTCACTGCAGAAGGCAAGGTTTTCCCGTCTGTCCCAGCTGTCTCCAGGACCCGGATGCTGGAGGGAGAGTGGGTTTCTCTTCCTGGCGGGAGGGGAAGCTGCCTGCTCCCCCTGCTGCCCTCTGATTTTCACTCTCACCAGACCAGGGAGCCTGCCCGCTTCTGCAGGTGGCCCTCTCCTGACACACTCAGGGACTCATTGCCCATGACTGAAAAAGATACATAGACATGGAAATTTCGGAGTAATGAGAGGCCAGCCTGATATTTCAGGGTTGGGGATAAGCCTCTTCTAAAAGGGAAATGAAAATATTAGAATAAAATGTTACCCTATATACTATTCTTATCTTTGTCTTTACACCAACATTGTATTGTTTGTACACTAAATTAATACATGTAAGTTTATTATTTTAATTTTAAATTTGGCCCATATATGTATGAGGTATAGTCACAAATATGATGTGGTCATAATAATGTTCTATGCATTTGCACATTAATGTAAATGCAATTTTAAAAGTAAGATTATTCTGTCTCACTTTAGTGTATCCTCCATTGCTTCTGGGCCTTTTGTTTTTTTTTGGTTTTTCTCCGGTAGCGGGAACCGAACTCACGACCTTGCGCTTGCCAGGCAGGCGCTTTGCCGCTAAGCTAAATCCCCAGCGCCCCCCCCTTTTTTTTTTTTCAGTACCAGGGATCGAACTCACGACCTTGCACTTGCCAGGCAGGCGCTTATGCCAGTGAGCTATATCCCCAGCCCTGCTACTGGGCCTTTTGGATAAGATCAAGTGAAGTATATCCTCCATATATATCTTTATGTATATCAAAATTTGTATGATACTTCTTTGATAATTACATACACCGTATTATACTTTGTATTACCAGCATACTTTCGTCTCTTCTTCTCCCAATTTTCAGCCATAGCATGTTTAATTTTTAAGTTGGTATATATACTCACATTATTTAACTTTGACAGGTAGTACATAGATCATGGATAGATGACAAAACTGAATACACTTGTCTTTGGTCTCATTAAAAAATGAATTATAATTCAGAGTATGGTAGTTTACTTCATATAGGTCACATACATGTATATGAACCTAATAATATCACTCTGTACAAACATTATATGTCATAAAATAAGATTTGCAGTGTCCAGAAGAGTGAAAATGGGGAAAGGAGATTGAGAAGAGCACGGATGGAGGTAGGAGGGATGAAGAAAGGGGTTTTACAAATGTACGAAGCCTTGTTATGAACACACACCCACTCCCCAGGATAACCATAAACTGCATGTCCTGCAAACAGGTGCTAATATAAGTTAAAAAACTGAAAATGAATTGTGAGAAATAAATTGACTGGGTTTATAGCTCTCTAAATCTTGGCGACCATAGATTCAAAGATCCTTTCAAAAACCTTAAAATTATACTTTATGTTTATACATTTTACTTATATATACACAATTATAATTACATGTATTAACTAAGTATCTTAAAATTATATTTTATATACCAATAAAATAACAATTATGATATATACGTACTTATAAAATCATATGTAAAATTACTTATTATATAATATATTAATAAAATAACAATTATGATATATACCTACTTATAAAATCATATGTAAAATTACTTATTATATAATATATTCACATGTATACAAGGATGTAGCAGTCATTCATAGGGAAGAATAGTGAGTCATTTTTAAGAAAACAGAGGTCACAATTCTTAGTAAATCAAATCAGTCACAAAAGGTCAAGTGCCACGTGGATTTTCTTTTATGATAAACACAAAGTGGAAGTCATTTAACAAGGGAAAGAAAAGATACATAGGAGTCATGAGATTAGACTTTGTGGAGCAGGGAGGGGGATGTGGACAGGGGCCGGGGTTGCAGGCAGGGGAGGTTAGGGCATTACAAAGTGTTACTGTGATATGCTTATGTAACAGCATCCCAAGATGAATGTGATTATTATGTATCATACCAGTGTACCAAAAAAATTAATAGCATGTCACTTTCCCACCTAAACTGGCAAAACATATTTAACTTTTCAAAATACACTTATAGAGTAAGATAAATTTGGAGAAAGGACAAATTTATTTCAGTAAATATGTCTATTAGGCTAAAACAAATAAACAATACACCTGTACCATTTTTAATAATGTCAGATAAATTGAATAAACTCCATGATTAGGAATAATGAGAAAATTGCACACTATGTTTTCAAATACTTATATTTCAAATTACTTCAGGATATATTAGTTGTGATCTTCTATAACACTTGAAAAACAAATAGCTTGTCCTCGTGTGGCGGCAAATGCCTGCAATCCCAGCAGCTTGGGATCCTGAGGCCGCAGGACTGTGAGTTCAAGGCCAGTTCAGGCAGGCGACACCCTGCTTCAAAATGAAAAGGAAGTTGCTGGCTATGCCGTTCAGCACACTGGGTTCCATCTCCGGTACCGCACACAGAAAAAGAAAATATAGAGCCTCGCTGGTGAAAATGGTAAATTTATGTTTACAAAAGCCATGATATCAGTGTGTTAGCAAAACACTTCCAAGGAAAATCAACGGGAGTAATTCGTGGACACATGGAAACCTGTGCGTCACAGCTGAGGGGTCCACGTTTTGGCCGGAGGTTGTTGCTCAGGGGTGAAGCACTTGCCCGGGCTTTGGCAGGCTCTGAGTAAAATCCCAGGACTGCAGGAAGGCGGGGTTCATATACTCTTCATTCATAAGAAGTGAATTTCAATTAGACCCTGGATTAAACCGGAAAATGCAAGAAAACTATAACGCTTTCAAGGACAGACTGTTTTATTCTTGCTAAAGTCGCAGAGATAGCGAATAGAAATACAAGCTCTTATCACAGAGCAGGAAGCTATTTGCGCACAAGCGTGTAACAAAGGTGAAAAGAATAGGGGCCTTTTGGAATAAGCACAGTTACCGACGGCAGACTTTACTCTGAAATTCCTTCATTTCATTGTATTTGTGTCTTTTTCAATTTTGATTAGTACACACTTGTGATACATTAAATGTAGATTCACCTTTGAGAACAGACATACATATGGTGTCTTGGTCATTTCCCCTGTTCTGTCCCCTTCACCCTCAACTCGCTCCATTTCTCTAGCTCTGTTTCCTGTATCCATTCTACCTGCACATTTCCCACTGTCTCCTCTTTTGCTCTTTGTATTATATTTTGGGTTTCTCATATAAGAGAGACCATGTGATAATTAACCTGTGTCTACTTTACTTCACTTAGATTCATGGGCTCAACTCATGCATTATTTTCTTTAAAATTAGTTAAATTCAGTGTTATTTATGATTAATATTCCATTGTGTTTACACAGCACATATTTTTACTCTTTGTTTATTCATTGGGATAGGGATTACTTTTATAATTTAGCTATTGTGAGTTGTATCATAAACATGGGTATGTATTTACTCCTATAATATGATTAATTTAATTCTCTAAGGAAGATACTTAGGAGTCATATGCCTGTGTCAAATGCATGTCCCCTTTTTAGTTTTCTGAGGGGTTTTCATACTAATGTCTGTAGCAGGTGGACTACGTGACATTTACATTCTTACAGTCAGTGTAGAAGGGGTCCCTCATCCCCACACCCTCACTAGCTTTCCTTTCTTTTTTTTTCTCTTTCAAGTTTATGACACCAGCCTTTCTCACTGGAGCAAGACTGAACTATAGTGCTGTTTGATTTGCCCTTCTTCAGTGGCAAAAATTCAGAAATATTTCAGTGGAAAAGTGCATTTAAAATGTCTATTCGTTTTTGTTTTGGGTTTTTGTTTTAGGAGTTCTAATGTTCTTATATTTTTTGTATATTCTAGAATTTAGTCATTTGTCTGCAGGGTAGCTGTAATTGTTTTTCTTTTTGAAAACTATCCCCTCATTCTGTTCATTGTTTCTCTTGCTGTACAGAAGCTTCTGTCTTTGTTACTATGTTTCCTGTACTTAATGATCATACAGTCCCAGTTGTTGGTCCTGAGAATTATTTCTTGCTTGCTGGGATTCTGTTCACAAAGTCTTTGCCTGTGTCTGTGTCTTCAATGGTTTTATGTATTTTATATTTTAGCAGGTTCAGTGTTTCTGTTTGTATATCTCAGTCTTTGATCCATTTTTGTTTGATCTAGCACAGGGTGACAGATGTGGATTTACACTCATTCTTCTACAAGGATAACCAGCTTTACCAGTAACCTTTAGCAAAGATGCTGTTTTTCTTCAGTGCTTGCTGTGTTATCCCCCTTTGTCAAAGCCCAGATGACTAAAGCTTCATGGCGCTGTTTCTGCCTTATATTGCATTGCATTGGTCAGTGCATCTAGTTTTGTACCAGTACTATGCAGTTTGCATTACTCTAGCTTCGACGTCAGGGAGTGCATTGCTTCCTACTTTGCTTTCTTTTCTGTTTGGGTTTGTTTAGCTCTGTTGTCTCTCTTCTTATTCCACATACATTTCAGGGTTGATTTTTCTAGTTTGGTGGTGAGTGCTGTTGTTATTTTGTGAAAATTATGGAAAATTAATGGGTTAGTTTTGGTGACAGGGCCATGTGGACAATATTGATTCTCCCTTCCCTGAAATAGGGCATGGCTTTGCGTTTTCTAATGTCTGTTTCCATCTCTGGTTTTCAGAGTACTATGGTTTTTCTGAGGAGATGTTTGCTTTCTTGGCTAGGTTAACTCTTGGATATTTATGTTTTTTTTAAGGCTACTGTGAATGTCATTGTTTTCCTGATTTCTTTCTCAGTATGTAACTTATAGTCCTACTGGAACAATATTGATTTTTTTTTCAATTTCATTATTAGTTTAGATCAGTAGATATTTGTTGTACTTGAAGTTTACTTTCAATTTAGGGAGCATGATAGATCCATGTTCATGAAATGTTTGGCTTCTCTGTAATTTCACTGTTTTGAAAAAGAGTGCTGATAGTGGCTTCTTGTTCCTGATTTTAGAGCAAATGCTTTGACTTTTACTCTACTAAGTATGATGTTGCCAGAGGGTTTGTCATAAATAGAATTTATCAGTTTGAGGTAAGATTCTTCTGTGCCTATTTCTATGAGTGTTTTTGAGGATGAATATGTGTTCAATTTTATGAAACTTTTTTTCCATCTATGGAGGTAATCCTATGGTTTTTACCCTTACTTCTGTAAAAATGGATAATAAATTTTCACCTTTATTTTGCTATGCACCTTAACTTCCTAAATTTACTGTATGCCAATCCTCCTAACTTCAGAAAATGTCCTTGATTTTTAAATTTCTTCCCTGGAGCTCTGAAGCTGATTTAAGATTCCTGTCTTCAGGCCTGGTGTGGCAGCACACACGTGTAATAGCTGCATTTTATAGGCTGAAGCAAGAAGATCGCTGTGAGTGCAAGGCCAACCTGCACTACATAGCCAAATCCTGTCTCAGAAATGTTTTCTGTATTGATGGTGACAGAGTCATCACTGGAAGGGGTCAAAGACTGAGGTGACTTAAGTGAGAAACTGTTATATTATGATACTCCTTGTACAGTATGAGGTCTTTCTGTTCATTCAAAATCCCTCAGTGTACAATTATCTTCTCTCTTTTTATCTCCATTTTTATCGAAGAGCATTGCTGAACATGAAGTACTGAATGATATGTTAATTGTGCAAGTATATAATTTTTCATATATATACTCACTATATATAATATGCTTGTTAGTTTATAGTTTTTTCATAAATGGAAACATTTTCTTGTGTGTGTATAGAGGAAGGAATTTTCTGGGCCTGAATTATATCACGTGCTGTAGCTGGAAATTCTTAGACTTTCCAGGATCCTTCACTTCCAAAGAGATTTCATCAGCTGGATCTTCACCTTTCATCAGAATATTGTCTGAAACTTCTGTATAAAAATATATCATGAACTGGGTGGATATTTTCAATTATGGACTTTTCACAGTGGCAGAAACCATGAATTTAAGAGAGAATTGTTTTAGAACTGTGTGTTCTCAAATGGAAAGGTGGAAGTAAGATCTCTCTTCTCACTTGGAAAAACACTAATCACTATCAAAGAAATTCATCTTCATAACGTTATCTAGTCTTAATTATGCCTGAAAAATCAACCTTGGAGTGGAATCACATTAAGTATTAGGAAATGTGAAGGAACACAGCCTGGCATACAAGTTAGTGCACAGGATTTAAAGGTAATAAGGCATTGTGTCTTTTACTTAAGCCTGGCATACAAGTTAGTGCACAGGATTTAAAGGTAATAAGGCATTGTGTCTTTTACTTAAGGTTTAAACTAAACAATTACCAACATGTCCTGGCCTTGGTGTTTGCCATAGAAGAGATCAACAGCAATCTCCACCTTTTGTCCAACATATCCCTGGGATATGAGTTCCATAATGTCGGGCACAGCCAGTGGAGGACATTGGAGAGTTCCCTCACTTTGCTCACAGGGCAGAGTGAGATCCCTAACTACACCTGCGGGAGAGGGAGCAAGTCCACAGCAGTTCTTACAGGAACAGCATGGGAAACATCTGCCCAGGTTGGAACACTGTTGGAACTCTACAGATTTCCACAGGTGAGGAGGGGTCGATGGGAAGAGATAGACCTTGCTTATTTGGTGCTACTCTTCGGTAGTAAAGTGGATAGAAGCAGAAGCTTATGTTTGTGCATCTCAAAATGTACAGTCTACCAACAGTAGATTGTTACCCCATAACATCTCCAGTATTTGTTATTGGTTGATTTCTTGATAGCCCTTCTTTCTGGAGTGAAACACAATCTCATTGCTCTTTTAATTTGAATTGCTTTAATGACCAGTGATGTTGAATATTTTCCATATATTCCATATTTGCTGGTTGAGCTCCTTCACTTGAGCATTATCTATGGATTTCACATGTCCATTTTTGGATTGGGTCTTAAAATTTCTGTGGTGTGACTTTATGAGTTCTCTGTATAGTATAGATAATAGCCCTTTGTCTGAGGAATAGTGGTAGAATTTTATTCCCATCCTGTGAGTATCCTTTTCACTTCGTTGGTGGTTTCTTTTGCTGTGAAAAAGTCCGTTATAAGATGAGATCCCAGTTGTTGATTCCTGGTAGTATTTCCTGTGCAGTTGATCTTTTGTTCAAAAAATCTTTGCCTACACCTATGTCTAAAAGGGTCTTACCTAATTTATCTTTCTGCCAATTTAGTGTTTTTGCTTTAATATACAGATTTGTGATTCATTTCAATTTTGTGTTAGTGCATGGTAAGAAGCATTGGTATAGATATACTTTTTGGTGTGTAGAAATCCACTTCCACATCACCATTGATTCAAGAAGCTATCTTTCTTCCAGGGAAGGTATTGGCCCCTTTGACAAAGATAAGGTAGCTGAGTGTACTTGCAGTTGTTTCTGCATCTTGTGTTCTGTTCCACTGATGCTCAGGTCTGTTTCTCTGCCATTACCATGCTGTTTTTACTACACTAGCTTTGTAATATGACTTCCACCTCAGGATTGTGATGCCCCTTGCCTTACCTTTTTTTTTTTTTGCCTGGAATTGCTCTTGCTATTCTAGGTCTCTTCTGGTTCTTATGAATTTTAGAATTTTTTTCACTACTTCTGTGAGGTATGCTGTCGGGAATTAATTGGGATAGCATGTACCTATACACAAGTATTGGAAGTTTGTCCATTTTCACTATATTTATTCTCCCTGTCCAAGAACAGGAAATTTTTTTGATATCCCCTTTGAACTCCTTTTTGAGAGTAATGTGGTTTTCACTGTATATGTCTTTGACTTCTGTTGTTGGAGTGATTCTTAAGTATTTCATACTACTTGATGCTCTGTGAAAGCTGTGGTTTCTCTCAGTTCTCTTTAAGTGAGTTTTGTGTACAAGAATGTTAGTGATTTTTGACTGCTGACTTTGTATCCTGCTATGCTGCCAAAGTTAGTTATTAATGCTGGAAGTCTTTTGGTGGAGTTTTTGGCATCTTCTATGTAGAATGTCATGTTATCAGGAAATCACGATGGTTTCATTTATTCTTTTTCTTTTTGTATTCCTTTTATTTCTGTCTGTTGTCTAATTCTCTGGCTAGTGTTTACAGATCTGCATTGAACATAAATGTTAATAGTAGCCATCTTTGTCTTCTTCCTTATTTTAGAGTTAAAACTTTCAATTGTTGAGCATTAAGTATGATGCTGGCTGTTGGTTTGTCTTGGATGGTCTTTATCAGATTGAGATAAATACCCTTTTATTCCAATTCTTTGTAGGGTTTTTATCATGAATATGTGTTGGACTTGATCAAATTCTTTCCCTGCATCTATGGAGATGACCATGCAGTTGTTGTTCTTGCCTCTGTTGATGTTGTGTACTGCACTTATTGATTTGCATACGTCCAACCATCCTTCTATCCTTGGGGTGAATCTTCCTTGGTCATGGTGTATAATCTTCTCGATTATTTGCTGTAGTGTGTTTGCCAGTATCTCACTGAGGAATTTTGCATCTCTATTGATTAAAACATTTGGGCTTAGTTCTCTTTTCTGGCTGGGTCCTTCCCTGGTTTCTGACATCAGGGTTATGCTTGCTTCCAATGATCAGTTTGGAAATACTCACTTTCAACTTCATTAAAGGGTTGGAGGAGTGATGGCATTAGATATTCTCTACAGTTCTTGTTAAATTCAGCATTAATTCCATCAGGACTTGGCTTTTTCTTTGTTGGGAGGTTTTTAGTTGCTTCTTCAACTTCATTAACTGATATTGGGTTATTTAGAATTTTTATATCTGCTTGATTCAGCTTTGATAAGTCATATGTACCTGAAAATCTATCCATTTCTTCTCTATTGTTCTTATTATTAGAGTAGAGGTTTTCATGGTAGGTGTTGAAATCTTCAGGATTTCTGCAAAATCTGTTGTGACTTTGTTGTGACTCTTTTCCTACCTCATTGCATAGACTCGAGTCTTTTCCTTGCTATTTATAATGAGGTTGGCTTAGGTTTTGCCTGTTTTATTAGTTTTGCAAAGCACCAGCTCTTTTTTTTTTTTT